GCGAGAATTAAAACAAGCACAAAACCTCTTATTGGCGGCGACTACGAACCAGTGGCAGAAAAGACAAAGTTTGGCTGGTTCATCATGAGTCCTGGGGTTGAGTTTGACCGTAATACGATGCTCTTAACTCAAACAGCGCACTCAGATTTCGAGCGTTTATGCAGGTTAGATGTTCTCGGGTTGGCTGACACGACGGAAAACGACCAGAGCGTAGTATACGAGGACTTCAAAGAGCAGCTGACGAGAGACCCCGAAGGTTGGTACGAGACCAACCTGCCATGGAAAGCCAACCATCCCAGTCTACCTACGAATGAAGCGGGCAGTAAACGGCGATTAACAACTGTGATAAAGAAACTAACTCGTGAAGGCAACTACGAACGATATGACGATATCATCCGAGAACAACTTGACCAAGGCATCATAGAACCAGCTCCAGTCGAAGCGAGTGGCAAAGAACACTATCTACCGCATAAAGGCGTTGTTAAACAGTCGGCGGAAACCACAAAACTACGTATAGTTTTCGACGCCTCGGCGAAGGAATCGAGTGATCAACCGTCATTGAACGACTGTCTTTACCCCGGCCCACCACTCCAAAACCAACTGTGGAATATTCTCGTCCGAGCACGTTTTTATCCCATCCTCTCGACCAGCGACATCGAGAAAGCGTTTCTACAAATTCGCATTAAAGAGCAAGAAAGAGATTCCTTACGGTTTTTCTGGAGAAGTCCTGGAAGCAAAGAGACGACTGTATATCGGTTCACTCGAGCTTTGTTCGGAATGACGTGTTCACCATTTCTCCTCGGTGGAGTTATCAACGAACATCTAAAACGATGGGAGATCAAATATCCAAACCTGGTTAAAGAAGTCCGAGACGGGCTGTACGTCGACGACCTGATGACGGGGGGAGAATCAGTAGACACCGTGACAACGAAACAGGAAAAAGTCGTCGAAGTGTTCAAAGATGGATCATTCAAACTACACAAATGGCATTCGAATGTTGCGAGTCTTGAAGAAAACATGTCTGACAACAACGAGGTACCTTCCCTTGGAACAGCTCAACCGATACGAACAAGCGAGAAACGAAGTTGTTCGGGTTGCCATGGGACAAAACGAAGGACACACTCAGCGTTGAGACAACACGGAAGCCAGTAACAACCAAGCGAGAGGCGTTGTCGGAGCTAGCGAAAGTTTTTGACCCTTTAGGCTTGGTTTCCCGAACGACCTTAGTCGCGAAACAACTTTACAGGGAAAAGTGCGAAGCCAAACTTCCATGGGACGGAAACTGAGGAAATCAAGAAACGATGGGAAGAATGGCAACTCGTAGTATCGATGACGTTTACAGTACCACGGAGTTTAGCACCGTTTTTTCAACACGTAACAGCAGTCACCCTCCACGCGTTTGGTGATGCCAGCAAACTCGGCGTAGCAACGGCGGTGTATGCGGTCGTAGAACAAAGGAACGGTACGACTCAAGGTCTGGTTTGCTCAAAGTCGCGCCTTGCCAAGAAAAGCCTTACCATACCTCGACTCAAGCTCGTAGCTGCTCATATGGCAAAGAATCTGGTAGTGAATGTAGAGCGTGCTATTGATACCGTCGTAAAGGTCGTGGCAGTCCATTGTTGGAGTGATTCCACTGTTACTCTTTACTGGATCAACGGCCAGGGGGAGTATCGACAGTTCGTCTCTAATCGTGTAGCGAAGATAAAGGAGCAAGCACATGTACAATGGCACCATGTCCCCTCCGAAGGAAACCCAGCTGACTTGGGGAGTTGAGGAAACAAGTGTGTAGACAGCGAGTTATGGCGACAAGGTCCTGACTGGCTGAGTGATCCGAGCAAGTGGCCCCCAAATATTGTCCTGGAACCCAGTCAAGAAAGCAGAGTTGAAAGGAAGTGCTTGGAAACTGTCTTCACCACGACAACAGCAGCACCGAGAGCTTCTGATCAACTAGACGAGCTACTTGAGAAGCGTGTACTTCGCAAGGTTTTAAGGATCGGAGCATGGGTTCGAAGGTTTGTCGAAAATTGTAAACGTGCGGTTAATGAACAACAATATGGCCCCATAAAGACCGTAGAGATCGAGACACAACTCTCGTGGTGGATCAAAAGAGCACAGCGTGACGCCACGAACAGCAACGAAATTGGGAAAGACGAGGTGAATCTGAATCTTCAGTTAAACGAGGATGGAATCTTAGAATGTCGGGGACGAATCGAAGGAGAGTATCCCATCTACATACCCCACAGTCACCTAGTCGCTCTTAAGTTAGTAGAGCGGGCTCACCATTCGACCTTACATGGCGGAGTAGGAATGACTATGGCGAGAATCAGGGAACATTATTGGATCCCGAAATTACGACGGTTAGTTAAGCGCGTTCGAACCAACTGCTGGGGATGCAAGAGATTCCGAGTCCAATCCTACAAGAAACCACCCCCCGGAAAACTGCCATCAACTCGCACCGAGGGAACCACACCGTTTGAAGTGCTCGGCGTAGACTTTGCGGGACCTATACAGTACAAACCAAAAGGGAAGAAGTTCGGGAAATCTTATCTGGTTCTTTACGGTTGTAGCCTCACAAGAGCCGTACATCTCGAAGTTCTTAAATCATTGGAACTTACGGAGTTCATAGCGAGTTTAAAACGCTTCATTGCAAGACGAGGACGACCCAAGATCATATATTCGGATAATGGTTCTACCTTTAAAGCAGCATCGAAGTGGCTGAAGAAAGTCCAGAACGACGAGCAGTTGAACAGTCTCCTTTCGGAACGTTCAATACAATGGAGATTCAATCTGAGTCTCGCACCGTGGTGGGGAGGCCAGTATGAGCGCCTTATTGGTCTTTTCAAGAGAGTGTTTTACAAGTCCATTGGCAACGGAATGCTTACGTTGGAAGAGTTACAAGATGTCATGCTAGACGTGGAGGTTACACTTAATGATCGCCTGTTATGCTACTTGGAAGATGACATCCAGTTGCCGGTATTTACGTCAAATTCAATGTTAAACATCAATCCTGGTCAAGTGCCTGTCCTGGAAGCCTATAACTTGGAGGATAAAGAACTTCGAAAAAGAGCGAAGATTCTCGAGAAATGCAAACAAGCCTTGTGGAAATGGTGGACTCGTGAGTACGTGCGAAGCCTTCGTGAACGTCACGTGAACCTGGGCGGTCGACAAGCGTCAGTGCCAAGAAAGGGGTCAGCCGTGATCATTCAGGATGATAACAGGAACCGGAAAACGTGGAAACTCGGGATCGTTTTAGATATGATTAAGGGAAAAGACGGCGTCGTACGGGGAGCTAAAGTCAAAACAGTGAACGGAGTACTGGAAAGAGCAATCCAACAACTATACCCTCTTGAGTTAACCTGCGATGATAACCACTTCCAGAAACCTGACCCCCAGGCCCCCGCCTTTGTTCCACGAGCGAAAAGAGATTCAGCTGCTGCGGCAAGCTTACGAATCGAGCAACAAGCAGAGGAAGACAAAATCTTCTAAGAGAAACCTTTCCTTCTAAATTAACAATTTTACTATACGAAATTAATATTTAGTTTTGTTTAGACATCACAAGAGGACAACAACGAAGTCAGTCTCAAGTGGACATATACCTCTTCAACGAGCTATATGGGGGAGTGTGTTGAGAACTGACAGATAAGAATACAGTTAAGAGTGATGTTTGATCTTTAATTTTATGCTTTGTAATAAATTTGGAGACATCAATGTTTGTTAGTTTCTTGATTTTCGCCACACTGTGATATTTCTCACAATGTTTGTCAGTTTGAGATGTGGAGCTGGTGCCTGATAATTGAGAACGCTTTCGACGATAAGCTTGCTGACAACTGCTTGTAATCGGGGAGCCAATTTCATCCAGGTTGGGATGGTTATTGCTGTGAAAGATATCTTCGTCGAATTTCCGTATGTATTTGTACGCCGAATAGTAGCCTTCGTGGTCTGAGAAATGCACCACAATTCTGTGATTCATTTCAAGGGCTTTTTTGCAGCCCAACCACCTCTTTGGAGCCGAAAGCTTCAAAGCCATGTGATAATGAAAGCCGTGCTGTTGGTGCCTCTCAATGCAACATGCCCAGTGTTGTGGCGATGATTTGCTTCGTGGGGATGTAAAGGCTTCAACTACAGCATCAGCAAACGATTCTCTAGTAGGAAATTTTTGAAGATCGGCTTGGCTATATGTTATTAAATAGCAACGCGGTGGTTTCTGCTATGAATTTCGTCTATTGGTGCCGCCATTTTGCATAACCGTTAAGTTGCGATATGAAAAATTCAAATTTCCCGCTGAAAGTTAATAATTAACCTTGATGTAAACAGACTTTAGAAATTATATTTCCGCTAATTAAATCTTTTTAGCTAGAACTCTACCGATGAATAATGATATGTGGTAGCTATTGATAGCTTTATAGAAAAAAATTATTGAATGTAGATCGCCTTTTGCAGCCAAGGGGGCATAGACAATCATGTGCAAAAATTATGAGACTTTACGTATTTTAAACACATTTTTTTCATTTTGACAACTATTTTGTCACATATTTCTTTAAACTATTGACTATTCCCCCCTTCCCCCATTGACAATGTTGAGAGTGATATTTTCGGCAAATCAAACGGCTTGGTATCAAAGAAACAACATTGTTTTGGGGGGAGAGGGGGGGAGATACTAGGTGTCATGACCGTGTCTCAATTATTTTTGCACATGATTGTAGATAGACTTTTATACACTTAAAACCTTTATACACTTAACGGTTCTCTAGCTCTAAAATGGTAAGGTAAACTATGTTTTTTAGAAGGGGCCAAATTTCCGAAGGGGGGCCCAAATTTCCTAGGATATTTGGCCTAGGGGGGGGGTATATTTCCTAGAAAATTTGGCCCGGGGGGCAAATTTTCGGGGGGCCAAATTTCCTGTGACACCGGGCCATATTTGGGCCAAAAATGTTTGGTATATCTCTTCAACAAACACAGTCTAAAGAAAAATTCATTCAATCCAATTATATAATATTCTCCTAAAGATTATTTGCAATATTAGAACACAGTCCACCACTCATTTTCTTACCAAAGTTTTGATCTACTTTTGTTTCTTGTACTGTAGCATCACCATTTTTAAATTTGGGGTAGGATACCTTCACTTGTTGTGTACCATCTTTTTTAGTTTTCACTTTTCGAGACAGGTTGGCATTGAAATGAATTGTTACCAGGATGTGTCTGAAGTGTGTTGAGAATATTTAGCAAAATAACTAAGTACAATGAGAAAACAAATATTCACTATTACTGATTATAGTAAGATCATTTAGTAAAACATACCTGCAATAAATACCACTAAATGAGTAAGCATTCATTTTGGGGGCAAACTGATTTACCACAGAGTGGAAACCCTCTAAACAACTTGTTTGGTCTAATGGTGAGGCTTGTTTAATTCCATTCACAAATGAAGTTTCAGCATTGCACCGCTTAGCTTGTTGTATGCTGGAGAGTCTAAAAAAAGCTAGAAGCAAGAGTAAAGTCATGTAAGCATACATACATATAACTGATATAAGTAAGTCACACAATGTTATATATACCAGGTAATATCCACTTTCTTGGTGTCAGTTCACCATGAGCACACTGGTTATATAGTGGATCATCCAATCCATCATGCTTGTCAACTATATGACTGAGGAATGACTTGAATTTTGCAACTATGATTCTACCATTTCCAGAATGTGTGGAGGTGGCACACAAATGATTGATGCATGGTTGGACCCATTCTGCTAATTCCTCTCCATCTGTTTCCATATCCAACTTAGTCAAGACCTTGTGCAACTCTACAATATATACCATTAATTTAAATTGAACATTTTCAGATTTGGCCATCTACTTGATTAAATAACACTCACAAACTCACTCTTTTTCAAGTGCCATATGACAAAATAATGTATTGTTTTAGGACGTTTTTCTCTCATGTATTTGGCAATTTGCTGATGTCTATCAGAGACAAATGTTGAAACATCCATGCGTTCACCCAGGAGAAAATACATGCATCTCTGGAATCCTTCAAATTCCATGGCAGGGCTGCTTTCTACTTCATTTTGTTATAGGCCAAAGAAAAACATAGTATAGTGGTGTTGAAACAAAAGGAAAAAATCACCCAAAAACTTTAATATTAATTACGTGTATCAAACTAAAATAAATTATTTCATTTGAGGTGCATGAAAAAATTGTGTAACCACAATATTTTGCACAATGACCCATGCTGTCGTGTCTTTCATCACCAGAAATAACCAAAGAAGATTCCAATGCTTTCAACTGATTTAGAATCTGACTTTGATAATCTTTCCAGTGGAGAAAGATTGCAGGAATCAGCATTTTCTAGAAAAAAAAACAAGAATTAAAATGGGGTTCTCTCAGGGAAAAACATTCTCAGCAGCCCTAGCTGATTAAAGTACTACTGCAACAAAAATTTTGACTCCATTTTTATTAGCCCAAACAAATATTTAGTCTTTTAGAAACAATTTGATGTATAAATGACTTCTGTGTGTGAAGTAGAAGTTGACTAATTTTGCCCTCAAACCTTGGTATCAAATGCAAACTTTTATAGCCGCCATGTTTGCTGATGTGACGTCATAACAAGTACCGATGTTTCGAAGCTTATGGTAATACACATAGTTTGTGTGTTGTCCGCTTCGAATTTTTTAGCTTGATGGGGAGAACCAAATCATTTCATTTTGAAATGGAAGTTAAGTCTGTTAACTAACATATATTCAAGGAATGCCTGATAAAGGGTCTGAAATATAGGCCGATTTGTTAGAAAACTCAAATTAGTCTTAGCCTATCTGACAGCGATATTATGTAGTAATATATGCCATATACAATAATGTATATGTTGTGCCACATAGTCCTTTGTGCTGCAAAGTCCTACGTAAGACGATCTGGAAGAACTTAAAAAAACTGCTTAGTCTTTCAGTAAAAGAAAACGAAGGCAATGATATGATGTCCTTGTTACTGATAATATTGGTGTATGCTATGCGATAAATTCCTGCAAACCATAAACAGTAATATGATACTGCACTATTGTAAATGCCACATTGCCACTGTTTTGCAACAGCGCGTATCGAAATATATCAAACACACACTAACACAGGTCTGTTTATCTACATAAATACTCAAGGAACACCATTCTTGCTGATTTAAATTGAACTTCAATGTCTTTAGAAAGGACACTGGCCGTGCACATTAAGACACCAAGGCCAACATCATTATAATTATCATGAATGCATGTGCGCACAAAGTATCTTTGCATTGATGATAAAACCAGCCTTGGCCTATATATATGTATATCTGTTAGCTTTCAACTTGTGCTATGATTCTTCAGACATCAAATGTATGGACAGAATCTTCTTTCAATAACTCCTTAATTTAAGGGATCTTGCTAAACAAGAGTCGAATCTTGGAATCAACTTATAGGAATCCTGAAATCGACTTAGTCGCGCAAAGAACCGCACCATTGAGACAGAAAGTCGGAACAAAAATTCAATATTTTCTTCGACTTTGGCGATCCATCTCTTTCGTTAGGAACATATGTATAGATATTTAATAATTTGATGAATACTGGCTTAGTCGGGACTGTAAGAAACACAGTTTCTTTGCTGACGAGGCTACTTAACACTAGTATTTTTACGCCATGCTAAGAATCGGTACTCTTTTCTAAGTCACAAACCACAATATGGCGGAGCAAAAGTTTGCACTGGAAGTGGCAAAAATCGTGACTTTGGAGAGCTATAAAAATCTTTTGAGAAAGCCAATATTGATTCTGTTTTCAGAAATGAAATCAGGAAGGTGAGCACTTTAAATTGAGCCCATAAAAAAGGGGTCCAAAATTTCGTTGCAGTAGCACTTTAAATAGTATTTTTTGTACTTATGCTTTGGTGCCTATAGTATGACATATTGGACATTACTGCAAGCCCCATATGTTTAAACATATTGATGACCTTGGTGGGGGGTCCTCCTGACACTAAAATGGCAAAACTTAGAAGGAAATCGCCAGCGTTCACTTTGCTTTTTGGCATTAGTGGTTGGCTTTCCCAAATCTAATTTTTTCAGCCACGGCCTGGTTTTCCACAACTTGTTCGGACAACTACCATAGTTCCATCCATTGTGGTTTCCACCAGAGGATGATCTTGTTTACAATAGTGGCAAAACTTGAAAAGTAAAAGCAACTGCGACAGGAAAACAATATATTTCGGTTCCTGGCGTAAATTTTCATGTGGATCCCTGAAAAATATATTAAATGTATTAGACGCTTGAATCTAAGGTAGGTAATCCCTGGTGCGAAAATACCTTTTATCCTCTACCAACTCTGATTTTTCTGACTTGGCTTCTTCCGAATGGAATTCTCCCGTACTCGAAATGTTATCAATTTCATTATCTGTGCATTCAGCAGTCAATTTTGTGTCATTATTGGTTGGAATATATATAATGTATGTATGTGTGCATGTGTGTGTGTATGTATGTATGTATGTATGTATGTATGTATGTATGTATGTATATACATATAGGTCAGTTATACAGCAAGCCCGTGCTTGTAGCGGTGGATCGAGAAAATGTAACCTCTGCCTGGCGGAGAAACTTTGCATTTTAAATGCCGACAAGCGTTTCTTATTGAACAAAAAGTCTATAGTCTTCATATATATATATATATATATATATATATATATATATATATATATATATATATATGAAAAATGTCTTCATATATATATATACATATATATATATATACATATATATATATATATATATATATATATATATATATATGAAAAATGCATAGAGAAGCATGTTAAAAAGCACCTTGATTGCAGGAGCTTGGATCTGAGAGATCTTAGTATGCTGCTGTGTTAGATTTAAGAAGAAACAAGTTATTGAGTGTTAAGGTGACCAAGCTTCTAGAGGAATTCTTATATTTATGACATTTGTCTGTAAAATGTATGAATGTCTGTAAAAACCCAGCACTGAATTTTAGACCATTAGGGACACACAGATAATATGATAGTGATTGTAAGTTTGTTTTTATGTCATATGGTAACATTTGTTACGATTTATATGGTTTAATTTTCAATTAGGTGTGTTAGAGACAAGGATAACCCTGACGACCATTGCCAGAGCCACATCTTTCATCCCATCCACTCATCTAGACCTTCATCATTCCAACAACCCTGGCAACATTCTGATCCACTTCCCTAATTCTTCCCCAGGCCATTTCTCAAAACAATACCACAGCCAGTTCTCAAACTTATATCGTGGCGATTTCTCACACTGATACTACAGCCATTTCACAAACCCATATCATGACTATTATGTGAACCAATACCACGGCCATTTCTCAGACTCATACCATGACCAATTCTTGAACCAATACCACAGCCATTTCTTGAACTGATACCACAGCCATTTCTCAAACCGATACCATGGCCACTTCAAGAATTGATACCCTTGTCACTTCTCTAACCCCGACCACTTCGGGTATTAGCGACCTTTAGAAATCACGACGGCTCTCGCGTACGACGGCGCGATAGACTGGGATGAGATCGCTGTTCGTTCGCTTTAGTTGCATACTTTAGAAATACACGACTGACACGACGGCTTTCGTGCAACATGCATTTGGCAGGAATATGAAAACTCAAAAGTTCATCAGAAATGGCCTCCTTTTCGACTTGAACAAATCAAAAAACCTAGAAATTCCGTACTCGTCATACCCACCGTTTGATTTAGAGGAAATGACAGACGATGAATGTAAGACTGAATTTAGATTTTTCAAAAACGATATTTACCGACTTGCGAGTGTACTTGCGATACCAGCTGAAGTAATTTGCTCGAACGGATTAAAAGTCTCCAGAATTGAAGCGTTTTGCGTTTACCTCAAACATTTTGCTTATCCATGTCGTTATTCTGACCTTGTTCCAAGATTTGCTCGTGATATACCTCAAATATGCCTTATATCAAATCTTATCATGAATCACATCTACAATGAACATCATACTTTGCTGGAAGATTTAGATAAACCTTGGTTATCGAGGGACACCGCAGAAATTGGTGTTGGAAGTCAAATATCTCATCAGTTGCTCACATTTGAATCCTAGTATTAGTCGGGCAGATAGAGCATATTTACTTACGGTTGTTTGGGACAATGTAATTTTTTCACAAACAGGTACTCCGAACCATGGTAAATAAGATTTTGATTGTTGGACTTGCACAGTTTTCTTGTAGTCTAATTCCAACAGTATTTTTCATCTTCAGTTTGCTGTTTGATATTTTCAACAAAATATGGCGCGGAATCGGGTAAAAGAAGCGTGAATGCAACTGATTTGACGTCCAGCGGTAATATTTTTTCGCAGTACTTCAAGTAGTATAACTTAATTGGATATTTAAATTAGCTTATTCGTGTCTAATTATTTTATCACAGCTAGCTCAGACAGATAACGTACACTCACGAAAGAGCTTAATTGCATTAAATAAAATCTTGAGAACATTGTTTTTGAAATAGCTACGACTTAATCTTCGTCATCACTTGCAAATAATTCATACGAGTCTAAATCATCTTCATCAGGTACACCATTTGAACACGCGGTACAACTACAAATGTCAGTACATTTCAACCCATTTGCGACGCATACGCACCTATTGTTCCTGCATTCTGACTTTTTGCATCCACATGACAAAAACTCTAACAGTGCATCTGGGGCTGGCTTCTGGTTCATCCATTTAATCTCTAATGCATCTGTTCCATCTTTGCACCATTCATGTCCAACCGGGTCTGTTATATCAACATTCGGTGACAGCGCTGATTTCCAAAGGTACGTAACGTACGTTGCACGTTGGCAGTGTAAGAGTAACTCATCTTCGGTTGGTGGGAGTTGTTGGGGCTCGGGAGCTTTGCCTTTTACACAAAAACGTTGATAACGAGCGTCATTTATACCAGTGCAACTACGAATGCCATAAAACTCTGCAACCATCCTCTGAATAACTGGGAAAATGCTTTCGTTAAAATTATGCTGATTTCCAAGCT